TTCACCCCAGCTGCACCGCCTCCGTAACTGTGACCCCTGCCCACGCATGCCCCCAACCCAGTGGTAACACTAACTGGTACCGCCACCCCAGCTGCACCCCACTCTCCAGTCATACCTCCAATAACCCCACCGCAGCAGTAACCATCTTCCCAGCTGTACGCCCTGTCCCAGGCTGTTCCCCACTCCTCAGCCGAGCCTCCACCCCAGCTGCACCTCCGTCTCCAGTCACACCCCCAGTAGCCCCACCCCGGCTGTAACTGTCTCCCCAGTCACACACCCTCCCTACACCAGCTAGGGGCTGGCTGCTCCCACGTGGTGGCTGCACTAGGCCCTGGCTGAGCCGCCCAGATTCCCTTGACCTCCTGGAGTTGAGCCCAGTGACGTGGCTGCCGTTCTGGGTTCCTAGACGGCCACGTAAGGGCTGTTTACAGAGAGAGAATTGGCTCCCGGTGAGGCCGCAGATGCCTCTGAGAAGACAGCTTCCCTTCATAGAGACCAGAATTTTTCAGCAGGATTTTCCCTTCAGTGAAAACATAGATGGACTTGGGAAAGGACCCAGGGGAAAAGGCTGAAGCCACAGCTGTGGCTGTGTGAGCATGAACTGGTAGACGTGCCCTCGTTTGCCTCAGTCTGTCTCTCCTGTTTGTTCTGTTTTTAGCCATGAAGGACGAGGAAGATGTGTGCCCAGAGGTATGTAGATCCAGTGGGGAATCAATCTTTCCCACGTGGGGGCATTTCTGGACCAAGGCCACATGGCTTCTTGGAGCCTGAGGGATGTGGGTGAGGTGGCTGGCCCCTCTTGTCACCTCCTTAGACCTGCTAGCCCTTGTCTGCGGACACCTGTGCTTTCTCAGCACAGCAGTCGGATGTGGCCCTTGGGCACTCTTTGAAGCTATGTCTTTTCTTCCCTTAAGGTCATACTTGTTACTTTCTGTTTCCCGTTAGGATTTTGCCTGCTATTTTGCTTAAGGCCTTTTTCTCAGACATCTGTAGTTACATGGCAATGGTGTCTATCCCTACACCAGAAAGTTAGGTGTACTACAACAGCAGTGAAGAAGAGAACTTGAAAAGGCTGCGGTGCTTAGCCACAGGAGATTGTGTGAATAGCTGTGGGTCATCCAAGTAATAGCCCCTTCCTCGGACAATCTGGTTATCTGAGAGGGACACATTGACTTAGGTGAGGGGCATGGTTATTGGTGCTTTTGTGTGCCTTGACCGATGTGTTCTTGAGATCTGAGCTGGGGGCGCTGGAGGGACGGGAGTCTGGTTGCCTCAGGTCTGAAGCAAAAAGTCCCCACTGGAACTCAGGGAGCTGCTTGGTCCTTGGCACTTGTGTAGCGACTTGAGAGGTTAACAAATGGCCTCCTCTGCCCCATCCAGCTCCTGGCTGCGGAGGAGGAGGGGAGAGTGGCTGCTTGTCCGGCTGGGGTCTTTTGCTTATTTTCTGTTCCATTTCTCAGAGAAGCGGCAGCAGCCTTTGTTGGTCACCCGCTCACCATCCTGCCATCACCCTTCTCTTCCTCCCTTTCTCCCTCCCAAGGATCCGAACTTCTGAACTCCTGTTAACGCTCTTCTGAGAGACAGCAGGATAGCAGGCACCCAAAGCCTTCTCTGCTGTTACTTCTGTATTCAGCGTGTGAGCTGGTATTGAATGTTCTAAACATCCAGATGGCTCCTTGCAGTTTCTGAGCACTGCTGCTGTGTGGGCTCCCATGTGCCCTCGGGCCGACAGCATGTGGTCCTGTTAGTGTTCAGAGGGCACAGGGAGGTGGCCTTGGCCTCCCCTGTGGCTGGGGCTTACTCCCCTAGACTTGTATCCCAAGGAGCTGGAGAGCCAAGGGTTCAGGATTCGAGTGCATTAATGATGTATTTCTCATTGACAGCAGCGAAGCGGGCCCCTGCCGGCCAGTGCCCCAGTGCCTGAGGAAGACAGGTGCTCTCTGAGTGCTTCTTAGCAGGGGGTTCAGAGGACCACCCCACCCCTGGCAAGATCACTTCTTCCTGGAAATCTCCAGGGCTGCTGAGTTCTTCCCTAACCCGCAGCTTGACTCTTGCTGCCCTGGCCAAGTCTGGGCTGGGAAGCCAGGCCATGCCCATCCTTGCCCATCTTGACCGCTGTGTTCTCCATTGCAGGCTGGCTTCTGTCTGGGCGCTGCCCTGCGCTCCTGGGCACTGCAGTTCATGGAGGAGCGTTCCTGGTCCACCATGGTAACCGCCTCACCTGCTTCCCTGGGGGCAGGAGCGGGGGTCCTTGCTGCCTCTGCCCCACCGGCTCACTACTGCCCAGGTCGGGACGGGGCAGGGTCTCCTCAGTGGCCTTGCTCATGGTGCTCTGTCTCTGACCTCACCCAGCTGACTGGGGCTGCGATTGGAGCCCTCCTGGCACTGGCCTTCACTGGCATAATCATCTTCTTTGTCCATAGAAGGGTCAAGCGATTTTGTGAGTATCTTGATTTGTACTCTAGTTTTAGGGGAAGGGACGATGGGTCGGAAGGGTGGGGGAGGTGTGGGTTTCTGGAAATGTGTTTTAAGCTCATGGGAGGAGCCCTCAAGCCTATGCTGGCTTTTCTTGGAACCTGGTGGCCTGCCGGGCTCAGGCTGAGTGTGTTGGTTCCCAGGAAGCCGCGTCTGTGCGCAGCCTGTTCTGCTCTCCTTTCCCACACAAGGCTCCATTAAAAAAGATGTAAGACTAGGGCCGGCCCGTGGCTCATTTGGGAGAGTGCGGTGCTGATAACACCGAGGCCATGGGTTCGGATCCCTATACTGGGATGGCAGGTTCGCTCACTTGGGAAAGCGTGGTGCTGACAACACCATGTCAGGGGTTAAGATCCCCTTACTGGTCATCTTTAAAAAAAAAAAAAAAGAGAGAGAGAGAGAAAGATGTAAGACTCCCCCATCTGAGAAGAGCCTGTCACACAGACCCTTTCCCTCATGCTGCAAAGTGGTAGCTGGGGAGAGGACAGGACAAGAATGCAGTTTATTGTCCAGCACCTGCAATTCCAGGGCCTGCCAGTGCTGCAGCCTTATTTTAGCTCCAATGAAGCTCACCACGTGCACCTACTCGAGGCAGCCCTCGCATACCCCTCTCACTTTGTGGTATCCCAGCTGCAGTTCAGGCTGCCCCTCCACTCCCCTTGCAGGACAAGTGCAGCCCATTCCTCAGTACAGGTTCCGGAAGAGACACCCCTCTCACTTTGTGGTATCCCAGCTGCAGTTCAGGCCGCCCCTCCACTCCCCTTGCAGGACAAGTGCAGCCCATTCCTCAGTACAGGTTCCGGAAGAGAGACAAAGTGATGTTTTACGGCCGGAAGATCATGAGGAAGGTAACTTATACTGCGGTCCCTGGGTCGTGTGTGGGCCCCCTACTGAGCAGGCCCCCAGAGATGGGGTCCTGCCTGCTCACCAGTCTCCCTGAGCTCCTGATCCTGGCAGCTCTTGTCATGTGCTGCCCTCTCTTCCGCTCCACAGCCTCTGCCGCTGGGCACAGGGTTTGGGGGACATTGTAAGTCACACTGAATGGTGTCTACTTCTTCCAGTCATACCCAATACCCCTTACCTGGAAATATCCCTTATTCTCTCAAGCCTTAACTCTGCCTGTGCTAGAGGGGCAGCTCAGGGAGGTCTGTGGCAGCGAGTGACCTCCAGGGAGGGCAGGTGGGCCTCTGGTTTGAGTACCTGAGTGTGCGTTGCAAGTGCGGAGAGTCCTTGAGTGGCTGTCCCGTTCTTGTCAGCACTAAGTGCTGTGAAAGGGAAAATGAGCTAGGCCTGCCACGGTCGAGTCTGTGCCAGACCCAGGCAGCACCTGGCCAGGACGGGGGTGGGCGTGGCACTGTATGGCTGCCTGCACTGAGATAGGGGCCACACACAGAGTGACCTGGGCAGGGTCTTGGAGGTCTGGTGGGGAGTGGCCATCATCCAGTGGTCCCGTGAAGGGTTATGCAGTGGCAGATGGGAATAGCTGGAGGACAGGGATACCTAGGACCTGAAAGAGGAGCTGCGGTTATGGTGACACCAGTGACAGCCGCTGGCACCAAAGGGCAGCTGGGCTCAAGGGAATGGAGCAGTGGGGTGGTGGCTGCCCTAGCACAGTGGCCCTGCCCCTGTCCAGGGTAGGAACCAGGCCTCTGCACTCGGGACGACTGCTCTTCTGGGCAGTCAGTGGGTGCCGACTGTGGAGAACATTCCAGACATGGGACAGATGGGGCTGTGGCCGTAGGTTGGAGGGGGAAGTGAGGTCGGGAAGGTGGGATTGAACAGTGACAGTTTTTTAAAGGTTGTAGGAAGGGGTGCATTGACTGGACTAAAAGAGGAGGGGTGGAGCAGTGGTCGGCCTCCCAGGCAACGAGGACAGCAGGTGTGACACCATGGAGCTCTGAAGGCTTTTGTGGGGACAGCGCGGTCAGTGCTGTGGATGTGGGGCTGTCAACAACGTCTCCCTCGAGGAGCCAGGTGGGGTAGGGGGTGGCACAGCCAGACCCCAGGGGCTGATGTCAGGACTGCAGGCGGCCCACAGGTGGGTCCTGAGGATGAACCCTGAGGCCGAGAGCATGGGCCTTGCCAACTGCAGGTCAGCGACTTGGCTCCTCCTTTGGCTCTGCAGGTGACCATGCTCCCCAACACGCTTGCTGGGAACACAGCTGCACCCCGGCAGCGGGCCAGGAAGAGGACCAAGGTGCTGTCTTTGGCCAAGAGGTACTGGGAGTGTCCTTCAGATCACAGCCTGCCCCAGCTGCCCTCCCTGGTGGGCTCTGTGAATCCACAGGAGTCCTCACCACCTGGGGCACAGTGAAGTCGGAGCTGCCTCAGGCAGTGCAGCATAGATGCCCTTGGTCTTTTGCTAAATGTGAGTATGTCTCTGCTTCATAGGATTCTACGCTTCAAGAGGGAATACCCCACCCTGCAGCCAAAGGAGCCCCCGCCCTCCCTGCTGGAGGCCGATCTCACAGAGTTTGATGTGAAGAATTCTAACCTGCCATCAGAAGTTCTGTACATGCTGAAAAATGTTCGGTAAGAGAGTGGGTGGGCTCAGCCGGGCCTGTTGCTGTGGCTCAGGACCCTCCGAGGGCACTGTGGTTGATGCAGGAGACTCCTCGCCATGTCCTTCTAACTGGGGACATGGCTTTCCTGTGTCAGGTGATGGTTGCAAAGCCTATCTTGCATCTGCCAAGAGACTGCTGGTCTCCATGCCCCATGGTGGTTGGAATGCTCAGCAGGTGTAGGACCCTCAGGGGCAATGGAGCCCGCTCAAGTTCTTTCCTGTTTTATTTAACTATTTGTCAATGTTTTCACTTGAGCGATCAATTCAGAGCAAGTGTGAGAAGTGTGTGCCGCAAGCCTGGGTTCTCTTCTGTCTCACCTGCCATTTGGCCCCTGGAAAATGCCCCTTTCCTCTCTTTAGTGCCCACTCATCATCCTGGAAGAGCGCCTTTGCCTTTATGCGTCTGGCTCAAGTTCATAGTCACAACCCAGAAGCTCTTTGAGCTGAGGGGAAAACAGGCTCCCAGGAATTTCAGGAGTTTAAAATTCTGTATGACTGTGATGCCAGGTTGCTTTGGGTCTGCTGTGCAGATCTGCAGCACGGGGACCTGGCACCTGTTGGGACAGTGGCCTGTAACCCCTTGAGCCTCTTTCAAAAGCTGTCCTTCCTCCTCTGCCTTCCCAAGAAGGGTGTTCCACAGCATACTCTGGTTCTTGCAGGGTCTTGGGCCACTTTGAGAAGCCACTGTTCCTGGAGCTTTGCAAACACATGGTCTTTGTGCAGCTGCAGGAGGGAGAACACATCTTCCAGCCAGGGGAGCTGGACACCAGCATCTACGTGGTGCAGGACGGGCGGCTGGAGGTCTGCGTCCAGGACACGGTGCGTCACATGCTGCAGGGCCTTGGGGTGGGCTTTCGCTTAGATGTCTGTCATCTGAAAGTTTCAGAAAGTTTTCCATTGAAAAGTTAGTGCAGAATTTTAAATTTAACTTACTGGGGAAAAAGGCACATCTTCATGCCAGTGTTCAGACACGTCTGCCATTAGGGTTTTGGCCCATTGCTTTCACTCTTCTGCACGCGGACCTGTTGTTTAAACGGGTTTAGTATGGTCTTCCTGTGGTCTTGTTTCTACCTTTTACCTGGTATGTTTTATTTTTATTTTTATTTTTTGGTCCTTTTTTGAGACCGGCCGCACCGCGCTCAGCCAGTGAGCGCTGTGAGCACACTGGTCATCCCTATATAGGATCCGAACTCGCGGCAGGAGCGCTGCTGCGCTCCCAGCGCCGCAGTCTCCCAAGTGCGCCACGGGCTCGGCCCACCTGGTATTTTAAATATTTAAAAATGTTTCTTCCAAGTCCTCAGAATACTGCCTTTAATGGAAGTTAGGTAGTAAATCATTGTATTGATCTGCCATGATCAATGGAAACTTTGCCCTGTTTTCAGCTTTCTGATTATAGATAATTTTAATTGTAAGAAAATAATTAAGGTGTTAACTCACTTAGGAGTTAAATGCTTGTTTCCTGCCTCTGTTCAATCACACCCTTTGAACCATGATTGCTGGGGGTGATCGCTGGGGGTGATCGCTGGATCAGACGCTGCTAAGGTCTTCTTGGTGGTGTGTTGCTTTGCAGGAGGGTGGGATCAGTTTATTTGTCCTGGTTTTATGTGGCCTGGGCTTCCCACTGTGTGTTATTGTTTAAAGCACATTCTTAGTGAATCCTGGAGTTGGTGTGATCATCGCCCCTGACCTTAAAGAATTTGTGGTCTCAGAAGTTCCCACTTTGTAGCGCTGAGAGTGGGTGACGACCCCAAGATGGCTCTCATGCGGTCCTGCTGGGTTTCTAGACCAAAGGTGTTGTCCAGCCAGAATGTTTGATTCTCAGGTAATAGCTTGGTCTGTGGCTGGACTTGTTGGGATTATTAGAAGCAAAGGGCCTCTGTTCATCCAGTTTGGGGATGTCAGAGCCAGTAGCTCCTAGGGCATGTGGTCACCCAGCTGGTGAACCAGTGACTCCTGCCGAGCTTGTGGGGGCCTCCCCAAAGGACTGCAACTGGCATCTCTCAGTGCCAGACGTGGACAACTTCAAAAAGGATTTTCCTGGGTCAAGCTGAGATGAAGTTCCTATATTAAATCACCAAAATTGCATGTTTTGGGTGTTTTCTTAGCTAGTGGAAAATTATATCAAAATTCTGTAATGTGTACTGATAATAACTAAATTTGGTTCAGAAAACTAACTTAGGTTTTATGAGATTTCACCTAAATCTGCCCAGTAGGGACCAGTCACGGGGCTGGATCAGACGCTGCTAAGGTCTTCTTGGTGGTGTGTTGCTTTGCAGGAGGGTGGGATCAGTTTATTTGTCCTGGTTTTATGTGGCCTGGGCTTCCCACTGTGTGTTATTGTTTAAAGCACATTCTTAGTGAATCCTGGAGTTGGTGTGATCATCGCCCCTGACCTTAAAGAATTTGTGGTCTCAGAAGTTCCCACTTTGTAGCGCTGAGAGTGGGTGACGACCCCAAGATGGCTCTCATGCGGTCCTGCTGGGTTTCTAGACCAAAGGTGTTGTCCAGCCAGAATGTTTGATTCTCAGGTAATAGCTTGGTCTGTGGCTGGACTTGTTGGGATTATTAGAAGCAAAGGGCCTCTGTTCATCCAGTTTGGGGATGTCAGAGCCAGTAGCTCCTAGGGCATGTGGTCACCCAGCTGGTGAACCAGTGACTCCTGCCGAGCTTGTGGGGGCCTCCCAAAGGACTGCAACTGGCATCTCTCAGTGCCAGACGTGGACAACTTCAAAAAGGATTTTCCTGGGTCAAGCTGAGATGAAGTTCCTATCGCCAGTAGCTCCTAGGGCATGTGGTCACCCAGCTGGTGAACCAGTGACTCCTGCCGAGCTTGTGGGGGCCTCCCCAAAGGACTGCAACTGGCATCTCTCAGTGCCAGACGTGGACAACTTCAAAAAGGATTTTCCTGGGTCAAGCTGAGATGAAGTTCCTATATTAAATCACCAAAATTGCATGTTTTGGGTGTTTTCTTAGCTAGTGGAAAATTATATCAAAATTCTGTAATGTGTACTGATAATAACTAAATTTGGTTCAGAAAACTAACTTAGGTTTTATGAGATTTCACCTAAATCTGCCCAGTAGGGACCAGTCACGGGATTGAGAGCTGTGGCCAGGTTGGGCTGGGTTTTTTCATTTGTCTCACTTGTCCTCATTTCTTTCTATCCTCTGCTTCCAAGCGCCTTGTCCCTCCAATTCTGCTACGTCTGGCTGGTCCTCTGCCTCCTCATCTGCTTGCTTGATTGGTGGCACCTTGGAGGTAGAGGCTCGTTTGCCCAGTGTGCTGGGCGCTGGGCTAAGCCCGCTTGGACTGACGACTCTCACTCTGCTCTCCAAGTGCAGGATGGCACTGAGGTGGTGGTCAAAGAAGTTTTGGCGGGAGACAGTGTCCACAGCCTCCTCAGCATCCTGGATGTCATCACTGTGAGTCCTCTGTGTGTCCCTGGGTCAGCCCTGGAGGCTCGTTCTTCCTGTCTTGCCTGGACAGCAGATCCCTTATCATTAAAGGCCAGCTCTACACAGTGTAGCAAGGGAGTTGGTCTAGGACAGGAGGGGCCTTCATTCTGACCACAGGTGTCCATGGGAACAGCTTTGACAACAGTATTTTTAAAAACAGCTGGGAATTTGGTTAAGGGTTTTGGTTATCTTTTAAATGTCTTTTTGTTCTAATACATGCACGTGATACAACATTAAAAAGGCACAAAAAGTTGTAAAGTGAAAATGTTTCCTCCTGTCCCCAGACCCTAGGCCCCCTTCCCGAGTGGGATCTACTACAGCCAATTTTGTGCAGACCCTCTCGTGGGTCTTCTGTGCTGTGTTAGTCCTTTTCTGTTGTTTACAACAGAGTACCTGAAACAGGGTAATTTATAGAGAAATGAAACTTATTTCTTAAGGTTTAGGAGGCTGGGAAGTCCAAAGTGCAGGGAACACAACTAGTGGTGAAGGCCTTGTTCTTGGTGGGAACTCTGTCCAGGGTCCCGTGGTGACCAGGGTAACCACATGGTGATAATGGGTTGAGCAACAGAGAGCTGACCTGCTCACTTGCTCTCCTTATAAAGTCCTGCTGGGCCGGCCCGTGGCTCACTCGAGAGAGTGTGGTGCTGATAACACCAAGGCCATGGGTTCAGATCCCTATATAGGGATGGCTGAGCGTGGTGTTGACAACACCAAGTCAAGGGTTAAGATCCCCTTACCAGTCATCTTTTAAAAAAAAAAAAAAAAAAAGATAAAGCCCTCCTACCTACACCCTTGATAACGCATTGCTTCCTGAATGGATTAATCCTCATGATCCAATCACCTCTCAAAGGCCCACGTTTCAGTTACCACGATAGGATTTCCTGCCCTCTGAACACTTACAGTGGAGACTAACTTTCTAATACACAAACTTTTGGGGGACACATTTAACCCATGGCACTAACATGTATGTTTCTGTTGTTCCTAGTCTTTTGCTGTTTATTGTTGGAGTGAGTGGTCTCATATGTGCATTGTTTCATGTATTGAAGACCAGTTTGTAGGATAAATTCCTGGAATAGACTTGCTGGGTCTCAGGACATGCACGTTTGTGATTTTGCAAGATAATAGCTAGTCTCCCCCAACCACTTCAACTACCACCATAGAGTTTGTACCACCAGTAATGTGTGGAATTGCCCTAACCAGCATAGTATGCAATCTAACATTTGCTCTGGGCTAGTCTGGCAGATTAAAAATCAGAATCTTGTATTATTTTGTGATTTAACTTTTTGTTCCAGAACATCTCAAGCATGTGCAGAAGTAGACACAATAGTAAAATTGACCCATGTACCCATCACCAGCATGTCCTATTCCCTCCCTGTTAACTAGAAGAATTCAACATTTGTGTAATTTACTTTTTTTTTGATCAGTGTGTGTACCTGTGTAATTCAACAGGGGAATCTGTTTTTAATCTTACTCTTTGAAGCTGTACCTTTGCATGCATTGTCAGCTGTGTATTGAGGCAAACTTTTTTTTTTTTTTTTTAAAAAGATGACCGGTAAGGGGATCTCAACCCTTGACTTGGTGTTGTCAGCAACACGCTCAGGCAGTGAGCGAACCGGCCATCCCTACATGGGATCCGAACCCGTGGCCTTGGTGTTATCAGCACCGCACTCTACCGAGTGAGCCACAGGCCGGCCCCTTGAGGCAAACTTTACCTTAATTTTTCCATGTCGTCAGGATGGTTCTCCAGAGCATTTAACCAAAACCTTGGCCAGGGTGCATTCAAGCAGGGCCAAGAGTCTCGGGTTCTGTGAATTCTTGTGTAGGACCTGAGTGGTGTCTTCTGGCCTGACCCTGAGTTCTTGTGCGCATGGAGGCAAGCACCAGATGGGGGTGCTGGGCATCCAGTGTGCACCATGCTTCCTGTCAGGCGCAGATGTGCTTGAAGCTGTTTTGGGGACTGGGACGGAGATGTGGATGGGACCCTGGCATCTTGCTGTGTCCCCGAGACCTGGTGTGTCTTCACAAGACACTTAGCCCAGGCTAGGGAGGCTGCCTGCTTGCGGAAGAAGAGGACACTCCCCTCCTCTGAGCAGGGATGACGTGCATGCGGGCGGGGCAGGCTGGAGCAGAATCCAGGCCACTGAATCCATCTGTGCTGCTCGGCAGGGGTCTGGGGTTAGTGTGCATCTCTTGAGCTCTGGCCGGTGTCTCAGGGACGCCGGAATGTGTAAGGGGCACTGGTGGGCCTGTGAAGACTCAGGAAAGGCCTGGGAGAGCTCTGGTCTACACGGATGTAAACCAGTCAGCTATGTGGCGTCTGCACCTCCTCCCACCTTGGCTGGTTTGTTTTTCTTTAGGCAAAAAATAGCTTCAGTGCAGACTGGAGTAGAGGCCATTCTGTTATTTCTTGTTCTTTCTGATCCTGAACTCATTGATTTGGGGGTTGAACCTCATAGCACCATGATGTGTATGGCCAGGAAAGGGGAACTACTGCAGTGACCGGGGCAGGGAGACTCTCTCTGCCTCCCCAGCCTGCTGTGGTCCACGTCACCCACTTCCTTAAGGAGCAGCAGTCGGTCTTCCCTGAGTGTGGTGACAGTAGAAAGTGGGAGATGACACTTGAGAGGAAATAATTGTGTATTGTGATTAGTGGATGATTTGGAATGACATCATTTTTGCCTCACCATTTTTAAACATTCCATCAAATTTTTAATTTCCGTCATGTTATTTCCAGAGCTCTTATTTTTGTTCCCTGAATGTTCTTTTTAAACTACCATCTGTTCTTTCTTCGTGGACAAAGAAAGATGTGGTTTTCCTTTGTTCCCTGAATTGTCCCTGGCTCTTCTGAGTTTCTGTTCTCCGTTTATTTCGGTTTCCATCTTTCAGATCAGGGGCTAACCTGTCTCCAGTAGTCCATTTATGTGAGGCTGACATGCTCACTGAACTCAGCTACACAAACCTCTGTAGATGCACGTCACAGACATCCTGTGGAACCAGAGAGGCCAGGCACAAAAGGAGCACACGGTGTGTAATTGCACTTCCACGGAGTTCACACACAGACTGCACTCATCTGTGGTGACAGAGCAGCGGCCAGCAGCCTCTTCTGTAAAAGTCCAGGCAGTAAATACTTCAGCCTGTGGGCCGCACAGTTTCTGTTGCAGCTGCTCAGTCTGGCCATGTGAGCGTGAAAGAGCCGTAGGCGGTGTGTGCATGAACAGCATAGCCGTGTTCAGTAAAACCACAGTGAGGAAAACAGGCGTGGAGGGGCTGCGGCCTGGGGCTGCATCGGCCAACTCTGTGATAGAGGTCAGATAGGGCGTTAGTTGGGTATTGATTCGGGGAGACATAAGGTAATCTGGGTTGTGGAAATGTCGTCTTCATTGAGGTGATAGTTATGTGGGTTAATCATAAAAAGGAAAGTAGCGTGCACCACTTGAAAGCCATGCTTGCCCCTGTTTGTGTGGTCAGGGCTTGTCAGTGGGGGACCCTGCAGGAGGACTGGAGAGGAAGGCAGCTCCTCCCTTCAGGTGTTAGGAGCCCACAGGTCAGCAATGTCTGTAGGTCTTTTCTTCAGGGTGGCTTCCCAGAGAGGAATCTGCCAACATCCTGCCATGGTCACATTGACTTGCAGTAGGGGAGGAGTCTGGGGGTGTCCCCTTTGGAGTGGACACTGCTCTGCGGCCCTTAGCTGTGCTCCGTGTCCCACTGCTCAGGCCTGTCTGCTTCACGTCTCCAGAGAGAACATCTGGGAGTCTGCTCGCCTCAGGGGAAGGCCATTTGCCGGCCACTGGGGTCAGAGAGGCTCGGGGTTGGCCTGCTGCTCACACGGCCTCCCCTGCGTGCTAGCCTCGCAAGGTGCTGGCCTCCACTTCCGGAGCCCCCAGACTCTTCCGTGAGGACCAGTTTTCTCCATCGGGGTTCTGTAACCCTAACGCCTGAGTTCCAGCTTTCCTTAGAGCGCTCCATGGGCTGCAACTCTGTCACTGCCTATCAGCAGCTTCTAAAATGTGGTTGACGTTCCTTATCTACTCTTAGCTTTTGTCTTTATCCTTGGAGGTTTGTGTCTTTTTAATGATCCATGTTTTTGTGTGTGGGGCTGGTTGCAACAGGGATGGAACCCTGGACCTTGGTGTTATCAGCACCATGCTCCAACCAATGGAGCTAACTGGCAGAGTATTCCAGAAGGGAACAAAGATAAACACTTACCTTCATTCTACCATTTTGAATGGTAGGTAGGCTTTGTTATTTTAATTTTTACTAAGTTATGAAATATTTCAGATATACAAAAAAGCATGATACAGTAAACAGACATGTTAGCTGTAACCCAGGTTATGTAGCTGTAACCCTGGTTAGCTGAAGCACAGGTTAGCCATAGACTGTGTACCCTTCAGTTAGCCATGTGTGCTCTAATTTCACTCTCTCCTTTCCTCAGAGATAGCTACTTTTCTGAATTTTCTCTGGTATTTATATAATATGTGGTATAATTTTGCTTGACTCTAAATTTCATCAATGGCGTCATACTGTGTACAATTCTTTCTTAGTTTGAGCAAGATTTTCAGTGTGAGATTCCTCCCTGTGGCTAGGTGTTGCTCTAGTTCAGTCATTTACACCACTTTGGTTTACCTGTTGCTGGTGAACATCTTGGCTGGCTATAATTGTTAGCGGCTACATACGACATGGCTGAGAATATCTGTACACACGTGGGAGTCTGGGGATTTCTTGAGGATCCCTGCAGGCCCAGTCACAGCCTCTCCCTGTGGTGTTCACAGCTTCCTGGTTTTATGTGAGGCCGAGGGCATTGTTTTACTAAGTAAACAAATAGGTCTGAAAATAGAATGCACGTGAGACTTTTAGCAACAGCTGCTAAGTTGTTAGTCCCTTTTCCCACCTGCTCCCAAACGCACACATGCGCATTTCTCCTTGATTCCAGAGCAGAGATGGGAATTGCCCATCTGATGGGGTTTTTG